TGCCAAAAATGCTACCCATCATTTAAGGCTTCAGTGAGTTGTAATCTTTTCGTTGGTGAAAGGCCTTTCCTCGATGTTGATGGCTACTGACTTATCAGGGTGGTGGTTGCTGAAGATTGACAATTTATATTTTTAAAAAGGCAAAGTGAAGTTTGTTACAGCGATTTTGATTCCTTTCATGAAAAATTTCTCTGTAGCATGCAATGCTGTTTGATAACATTTTGCCCACAGTAAACTTCTTTCACAGTTGGGGTCAATACTCTCAAACCCTGCCAGTGCTTTATTTAAAGTAAGCATGTGTAATATTCTCAGTCCTTTGTTGTCATTTCAGTAATCCTCATGCATTGTCATCAGAAGTAAATTCCATCTCAAGAAACCATTTTGTTTGCTTATCCATGAAAAGGAACTCCTCGTGCAAGTTTTACCATGAGTTTGCAGCAAGTCATCTTCAGGCTCCACTTGTAGCTCTAATTCTCTTGCTCTTTTTGTTACATCTGTGCTTACTTCTGCCACTGGTCTTGAACACCTCCAAATCATCCATGAAGGTTAGAGTCAGCTTCTTCAGTTAATGTTGATATTTTGACTTTTCCCCGTGAATCATGAATTTTCTTAATAGCACTTAGAATGGTGAATCTTTTCCAGAAGGTTTTCAGTTCACTTTTCACAGATCCATCTGAGGAATGGTTCTTTTTTGACAGCTATAGCCTTACAAAATGTATTTCTTAAGTAATAAGACTTGAAAGTCAGGATTATTCCTTGATCCCTGGGCTGCAGAATGGAAGTTGTGTTAGGAGGCATGAAAAAAACATTAACCTCATTTTACATTTCCATCAGTTTTTGGGTGACCAGGTGCACTGTCAGCAAACAGTAATATTTTGAAAGGAATCTTTTTCTGAGCATCAGGCTTCAACAGCGGGGCTTACAGTAGTAAGCCATGTCGTAAACAAATGCGCTGTCATCAAGGCTGCGTCACTAATTCTTAGAGAGCACAGACAGTGGATTTAGCTTAGCTCTGAAGGGTAAATGAGCGCGGGCTTCGGCTCCAAGCCTCTCGCTGCAGCAGCCCTGGCAAGAAAACCAGCCTGTCCTTGAGACTTCGGAGCCAGGCATTGACTCCCCGTCTAGCTCTGGGAGCTTTAGGTGGCGCCTTCTTCCGGTGGGAGGCCGCTTCAGCTACATAGAAAGTCTACTGCTTACCGTAATCACCTTCATTAATGATCTGACCGAAATCTTCTGGATGAGTTGCCGCAGTTTCCACGTTAGAACTTGCTGCTTCACATTGCACATTTATTTTATGGAGGTGGCTTCTTTCTTTAAACCTCATAAATCAGTCTCTTTGTAACTTCAAACTTTTATTCTGCAGCTTCTTCACCTCTTTCTGCCTTCATAGAATTGAAGAAAGTTAGGTCCTTGCTCTGGATAAGACTTTGGCTTCAAGGAGTGTTGTGGCTGGTTTGATCCTCTGTCCAGGCCACTGAAACTTTTTCCATTATCAGCAGTAAGGCTGTTGCACATTCTTACCATTTATATGTTCAGTGGAATAGCACTTTTAATTTCCTTCAAGAACTTTTTCTTTGCATTCACAACTTGGCTTTTTGGGACAATAGCCCTAGTTTTTGGCTTATCTTGGCTTTTGACATGCCTTCCTCACTAAGCTTGATCATTCCTAGCTTTCTGTTTAAAATGAGAGATACACAATTCTTCCTTTCTCTTGAACACTTAGAGGCCATTGTGGGTCATCAAATGGCCTGATGTCAACAGTGTTGTATCTCAGGGGATAAGGAAACGCAAGGAAAAGGAGAGAGATGCGGGGAATGGCTGGCTGGTCAGTGGAGCCGTCAGAGTACACACAACATTTATCAGTTAAGTTCACCATCTTAAATGGGTGTGCGGTTCATGGCACCTAAAAACAATTGCAATAGAAACAGCAGAGCTCACTGATAACAAGCCAAAAATAATAATAATGAAAAAGTTTGAAATATTGTGAGAACTACCAAAATATGACACAGTGACTTGAAGTGAGCAAATGTTGTTGTAAAAACAGTGCCAGTAAACTTGGTTTGAAGTAGGGTTGCCACAGACCTTCAATTTGTTTAAAAACCAACAAACAGTGTCTTCAAAGTGCAATAAAGTGAAGAGCAATAAAATGAAGTATGCCTATATTAAATAATACCCACTAAGCACTGTAATTAATAGTTAGATGGTCATGTATGTAAGACTATTGCAGTAGTTCAAAGAAAGATGAGAGCACAAATAAAAACAATGACTGTGAAAATGGAAAGGAGCAGACAAATTCAAAAGGTAGCTGGAAGAAAAACTAAGATTTGGTGATTGATTTGGTATGGGTTAAGTATAATAGTAGGGGAAGTTTTTACTTGGATGGTTGTTAGATGATGGGATCCTTAGCATATAAGAAGGAAAAAATAAGGAGTCCAGTTTTGAAAGGTTGAATATGAGGTGAGTGTGAGGCTAAACAGACAAAGAAAACCGGTAGGAAGTTGTGAATATGAATTTGTAGTTTATTAGAAAGATCAGGGTGAGAATATGGACTTGAGAGTCGTCACTCTTTATATATCTGTATATCTGTTGATTTCTATCTATATTTATTGTCCTTAGAGTTCCACTATTGTATGTTCCTCTCCCCCCTCCTTTTTTTTTTTTTTTAAACTATTTTGCAGGTTCTTCCTTGGTGATCTCATCCATTGTCTACATAAAATTATATAGAGTAAAAATATGATATAAATTGTATCTGATAATGTCTTTGTATGGCCTGTATTAGACAATAGATGAAATCACATAGGAGGAATCTACAAAATAAGAAAATTAACAGAAAGATTGAGAGAAAATACAGAATATAGAAACCCTGAGACCTGCTGATCGACACACACATATATACACACATAAACACACAGACATATCTATAATGCAGTAGTGGAACTGACAGAACAGACAGAGAAGATAGGAAGTAAAACCATGAAAGAGTAATACCTCAGAATCTGGGGGAGGAGAAATTTTTAGTGAGTGGTCAGTTGTTTCAAATTCTGTAGACTATCTGGTGAAGCTAAGAGCTGAACAAAAGGGCTTTCCATTGAGTTTTTATATTGTTATTGGGTATTAATACTGTTAGTGATTAGAGCAGTTTCATCAAGGGTTGAAGGCTAAAATTAGTTTGTAGTGGATTGAGGAACAAACTGGAGAGAAGAGAAATAACATGTACACTGTAGAATGAATCCCTTGAACAATAGAGAATGATTAGAAGTTTTGTAAATTTTATTGCTAAAAATTTGTTCCCAATATTAGTAGTATTTTTTTTTTTTTTTTTTACACTTGGTTGGATGGGTTGATTTACACCAAATCAGTGGTTCCATTCTCATATTGGCCATTTGGGTTTGATGTGTTCCTTGGGCCCTCCTAATAGAGTCTTAACAAGTAAACCTGAATTACTGTTGTCAGAGCTTTAAATTAAAGGCAAAAGATTCTAGTATTAGTCATAAAACAACTGTGATCTAATTAAAACAAAAATCATGACACCTACATTTTGGATGCGGCCATTCTAAAACTGTGTCATTTTTCTGTTTGGTAAGGTAAGTATTTGCTAAGGTGATATACCTATTGCAGATCTATTTCTTATATTGAAATATTGTTTTAATAGTATCAGAAATAACTGGGAGAAATAAAACTGAGTTTAAAAGTTCTCATTTGCCAAGTAGGTGAACTGTACATTTTTAAAACTTGTAACTTTCTGAGTTGGGCAAGGGAGTACTGTATATTTTAATTAAGTATTTAATAGTTTTTAAATAGTTTCAATTTGATATCTGTTTTGTTCCTAAGATATTAAAGAGTAAAAAGACCCATTCTTCACTTATGTTAGTTCAGTAGGAGATTATTCTCTGTGACTCTTATTTTGGAATTTTGAGTTGTCACTATTAATCACGTAGTAATTATTACATGAATTAAATGTGAAGTGATAGTTTATTTTAGGAAGTCTTTTATAGTGATGAATTAGATGTCTTTTTCCTTTTTTGAACATCTTTGTGTACAAACTAGTTCGAAAGGGGATTTCTTAAATAGCTACATTGGTGTAAAGTAGGAAAGGAGATGGAAGAGTTTCATCCTTTCATGGTTAATTTCTTTATGCAGCATCATTGCTTCTATCAGTCATTTTTATGAGTATATTTAAAGAGATCAGTATGCTTCTAATAGCAAATACATTTTTGTTCTTTTGGGATTTAGGATGGTTTACGTTATTATAGATGCCTTATTTTTATTCCTATTAGGTTAAAATAAAATTTTCAGTAAATTTGTACTTGTTTTCTGTAGTCTATATCAGTGCTGTCTAATATCAATATAATGTGAGCCACATGTGCCTTTTAAAGTGCCATGATAAAATGAGTAACTAACAATGAAATTAATAAATAATAAAGTTTTGTTTGATTAAATCAGTATTTTAACTCAGTACGTTTGAAATATTATGAAATTAATAAGTAATAGTTTTATTTGATTAAATCAGTATTTTAACTCAGTACGTTTGAAATATTATTTCAACATACAATCAGTATTAAAATTAATGAAATATTTTGCCTTTTTATTTCACATTAAGCCTTCAAAATCCAGTTTGTATTTTACACTGACAACCTTTCTTAATTTGACTAGCCACATTTCAAGTGCTCAGTAACCATATGTGACTGGTGGTATGGTGGTGTTCGGTTCAGGTCTATAGAGCTGGAACAAATTCTTAGTATCTGGATGAATGGACAGATAAAAGAAGATATTTGTCTTTTGTGAATTGGATTCGATTATAAACACCTGATAATGTGATCATCATTATAGATATCAAACCTGAAATTTTTTATTTTCTGGAAAGGAGATAAGCTAGAAATACTAGATGGATGGAACTTTTATAATCTGGTTACCCTCAATAGCTGTATTGTGTAATTGCACTTATTATATATACATGTTCAAAATTCTGAAAAATTTCAGTGTATGTCTATAACTTGTAGCATAAATGCAGTTCCAACTACAGTGAAGATTTTGTGCTACAGCTAGAGAAGGAATTGGTCCAAGCCCGTCTGAGTGAAGCTGAGTCTCAGTGTGCGCTGAAGGAAATGCAGGATAAAGTTCTGGATATAGAAAAGGTAAGAACAACATAAAGGCTGTCATTCCCAAACTAGAGGGGACATATGATAGATATTTAAGTGCTTATTGAGTGGTGAAATTTGGCACGGTTTTTTGCCCATTAAGAATCTTACATGTTAGTTATAAGAGAGGAAAGGAAAAAATACATGATTCCTATTTAATTTTTCTTGTTACCATACTACTCAAAGCCCCATATTTTGGGTAAAAATAGAGATTAAAGTCCTTTTAGAAGGAAGCAACCAGGATAATTTTTATATGGATGATATTTAAATATTGGAGAAAAGAAACTTAAGGAATAGAGATTAACTGTTGTCAAAATAAACAGCCTTTAGAGTCACCCAACTATAGCTGACACAGTATCTCTCAGACTGCTGCAGCTGCTGCTAAGTCGCTTCAGTCGTATCCGACTCTGTGCAACCACATAGACGGCAGCCCACCAGGCTCCTCCGTCCCTGGGATTCTCCAGGCAAGAATACTGGAGTGGGTTACCATTTCCTTCTCTAGCACATGCATGCATGCTAAGTCGCTTCAGTCATGTCTGACTCTATGTGACCCCGTGGAAAGCAGCCCACCAGGCTCCTCTGTCCACAGGATTCTCTAGGCAAGAATACTGCAGTGGGTTGCCATTTCCTTAAAATCCTGGGGCAAATGGGATGATATGAACTATAACAGTCTACAATGTAGTAATATTACATCTTGGCCATTGACCGAATACTAACCCTTTTTGTTTTTAGTATATAAAATATGCTGAAGACATTCCTCTTAAGCACATTTCAGTCAATGTAATTAAACAGAAGGCAGCAATTTCCTTCTAGAAGAATTAGATTTAGCTATGAAAAATTTGCCATATATTTGTTAAACTAATTTATGGAATACTTTTGGGTCAGTGTAGACCACAGTGTATTTTTTAATTTAAAAATTAAATTTTTTACTCATGTGCTGAACATGAGTAAAATGTGCTAAAACCATAACCACATTCATAGTTCTTTAAAAAAATGAATATTACCATTTTTATCCCAACAGTATATAAATATATCACTTGCTTTTCTCCCAATTAAAGGTAAATTTTAAAAATCCACTGTGAAATATGCATCCTGACTGAGCACAAAATGCACAAATATTCATTTTAATCAAATTTCAGCTGAGAAGTGAACATTTTTACTTTGAAATATGAAGATCTGATATATAGAAGTGAATTTTCTGATTGAAACACATTGCAGATGTGTCTTATGCAGATGTGTCTTGTTTTTCTTGTAAATTTGTTTAAAGAAAGAAATTAACCATTGCTTTCAAATATTATAATAGTTTTATCTGCAACAAGTGTAGAAATAGACTAGTTAAATACATAAGCATTTCAGGAAAATTTTCATCTGAGTATAACTGTTACAGCTTTCCAAGCTACAGAAAACCATCACAGTTTTTATAGGAAGATTTTAACTGGAGATGTACTTACAGAAGTTAACTTATCTTTTGAAGGTTGTTAAAAGAATAGATGAGTAGTGGAAATAGAAACACTTTTAGGTTTCTTATAACCTCAGACTTGAGAGTCTGTGTTCCAAATCACAAATTCTGAATCTCTGTTTTCTCATCTATAAAATCATAGATAATTTGGGTTCTGTGTTGAGTTTGTTTCTTTTACCCTTAAGTAGTATCTAGCCATTTATTCAGAATCTCATAAACAATGGACATGAAAGAGCCTCAAATTCTTAACTGTTTCTTAACGAAATAGAACAGGGTATAACTACAGTGGAATAATTATGCCAGAAATATATTTTCTATTTTTATATTATCTTTGGAAAACTTTTTCTCTATTTGTTGAGGAAAAAGCCAGCAAAAAATTAAAAATCCTAATGGGGAGTATTCTGGGCTCCATGATTTAGTTAAGAGTCTGGATCTTTCTGTTTTGAATATTTGGAAGAAGGAAATGTTCTTGTTCCAGTTTAAAAATGGATTTTTAAAGTAGCTTTGTTGGTATTCATGCATCCTATGGTTAATGTCTTCATGCAAGATAGTTTTTCTTAAAATACCTATACAGTAAATTTCTGGTTTTCAGTTGAGAAAATATTTAAAATCCATCACAGAATATGTGTAGTTGACACAAATAACTTTATTCAGCCATTTCTGTGGGCTAAAATGTTAATGAAATATTTCAGAGATAGAAAATTTTGTAGACTTGGAACTTAGTTTACTTAATGAACTTTTATTAGAGCCTAATTTAAAATTCTGTGGTCATTCCTGAGAGCAGTTTAATATGGCAACTCTATATTCTAAGATGGGTCTTTCAGGACCCATCTTGTACCCTTGAAGAAATACTTAGATTACCTTAGAACTAATTTCTTGAGTATTGATGAGTCACAATAGTACCTAATGTACAGATATTTTATACTCCTTTTCCAAAGTGGTGTGTTGAAAAAATAAAACAAATTTTGAACTGCTCTCTCCTATAAATCTTTAAAATATAAGTGATGTTCATGCTTTGTTTGAAGTCCTAATCAGAGGTTAGTATGTTTATTGCCATGTTGAAAAAATTTTTAATCTTGTTGCTCCATAATTCTGATTAGTATTTTATTAAAACAGAATTAGACTCTGTGTCCTTAAAATTAAAGACAGTTCCTTCCTGGTGGGAATGTAAAACATGCAACTGCTTTGGAAAAGTTTGCCAGTTTCTTAAAAATTAAATGTAGAATTACCATCTGATCTAGCATTTCTCCTCTTTCATATATACTCAAGTGAGTTAAAAACATCCATCTACACAAAAACTTTTACATAAATGTCCATAGCAGTGTTACTCATAGTAACCTCAAAGTGGAAACAACTCACATTTCCATCAACTGATAAATGTATAAATAAAATGTGGTATATCTGTGCAATGAAATTATTATTTGGCAATTTAAAAAATGAAATTTGAAAACATGCTGAGTGAAAGAAGTTAGTCACAAAAGGCCATAAATTATATGATTGCATTTGTATGAAATATTCAAAATAGGCAAGTTCATAGAGACATAGATTAGTGATTATCAGGGCCTGGGGGTGTAGAAAACATAGAGTAACTGCTAATGAATATAGGGTTTCTTGGGGGTGATTAAAATGTACTGAAATTAGTTTGTGATGATGGTTGCATAGCCCTGTGAATACTCTTAAAAACCTCTGACTAGTGTTAAAAGGATAAGTTTTATAGTTTGTGGATTATATCTCAAGAAGATTGTATCAAATTAAGCAAAATTATATATGAGATAAAATAACTGTTGTCATTTTGCTGTATTGTTGTATATGCTATATTTTATTTTTAAATTAAAAAAAAATCCCCAATTAACTTCTCTCTTGCTTTAGAGAAACAACTCCTTTCCTGATGAGAATAACATTGCACGACTGCAGGAAGAGCTCATTGCTGTGAAGCTGAGAGAGGCAGAAGCTGTTATGGGCCTGAAGGAGCTTAGACAGCAAGTCAGGGATTTGGAGGAACACTGGCAGGTGTGTGAGTGTATTTTGTGTGCTTTTTGAAAAAAATGCAAAACCTGAGTATCCACTTTGTATAAATTTGAAGTAGTTAACAACCAACACTAGGGTTTAAGTTTAAAGTGAGAAAGACTCTGTTATGTACAAAACTGAGAGCATTTAGAAATTGAAAGTACTTTTAAGCTTTTTTTCTCTTTGATTTTTAGAATTAAATAAAATGTAAAATAGAGGCCAAGTCATATTTTTGTTCTCTTCTTATACCATTGTGATTTGTGTTAACTTTTTCTAAAGAACTAAGAGAAAATATTTTTTTATATTGTACATATTTCTTCTGTTGTTAAATTCATTTGTCGTTAAGAAACATCAGAAGGGTGCATGGCATCAACATAAATTTATGAATTTGTAACTTCTTTTGCAAGTGGTTTTATCACAAAATAAAATAGACATTTAGTTGGTTATATGCCACAAATTTATTCACATATGAGGGAAACTACTGCTAAGTAGCAAGAAAAAGAAAAATAGAATCTATAAGACAGAAAGAAGAACGGAAAGGAAAAAAACTACATATTGTTTCAGAAAGTGATCTTGGTATGAATTGGGGTGGGGAATATATCTAGCAAAGTTCTTTACATTGCCATGGCTTTTCTTTTTTTTAAAGAAATATCAGACAGCAATAAACTGGAAATTAATTAAAAACAAATGAAAGAATTTTTTGAGAACACTGTTCTTAATTTCTGCTATTTTTTCCCTAATTCATGAATGTTTCTGTTTTCCCCTTTTCTTGAGATTTCATTAAAAAATAATGTAAAAATCTCTCAGGGAAAAATGAGGATAAAGATTATATTTTTTACAATAATTAATCTACAGAATAAAAAAATATTTGAACCGTATCTGAGTTTATATCCCAAATCTGCCACTTACTGGCTTTGGGACCTTTCTGGAGTTAATCACAATTTCCATTTTCTTTTCTGTACAGTGAAAATAAGAGCGTTTAACTTTTAAGATTTTCTGGGATTAAATAAAATGACACATATAAAGTGGGTTATACAGTACTCGGCCTGAAACAAGTGCTCAGTTAATTTGGCTCTTATTTTAGTACTGGGAATATTTGTTGCAATATAAATTTTTTTTAATTTTAGCGCCACTTAGCTCGTACTACTGGGAGATGGAAAGACCCACCTAAAAAAAATGCCATGATTGAGTTACAAGATGAACTGATGACCATCCGACTCAGAGAAGCTGAAACACAAGCTGAAATAAAAGAAATAAAACAGAGGATGATGGAAATGGAAACACAGGTATGATGAAAAAACCTAATAACTTTAAAAACTATTGTTAACCCATCAAAAGTTTATGCACAAATTGTATCATCCTTACAGTAGAGCTAAAAAGTGGGCATATGAAACTCTCATCTACAATTTTCTATCCCAAATGAAAAGGACTAAAACGTAATACTAATATATATATATATATATATATATATATATATATATATTTTTGGCCATGCCATGTGGCATGCAGGATCTTAGTTCCCCAACCAGGGTTTGAACCTGTGCCCCCTGCACTGGAAGTGCAGGGGCAATTTTGACCAGTGAACCACTAGGAAAGTCCCAAAACCTATATGCCTTGATGGCAGAAATTTAGTGTCTTCTTTCACTCTTTCAGCAAAGTTGAAGCAAGTCATAAAACTCTATTTGACTTTGTTTCCTTATTGCACAACCTGAAAGGGAATATTTATGTTGAGCAAAATTTCTTAACACAGCTAACATTTGGGGCCAGATAATTTTTTATTGTGAGACTGGCCTGTGCATTGTAGTACATTTAGCAGCATCTCTGGCCTCTTAACTACTACCACATCCCTCTACCCTCTATTCAGAAGCACCACACTCCCACCTCCCTATGATGGCCAAAAGCATCTCCACACAGATGTCAAATGTCCCCGGAGAGGCAAAACTGCCCCTGCTTGAGAACCACTGATACAGAATGTAATGTGAAGGATGCTTCCTAAAATTGTGTAATGTGGTGACTCTGAGCAGTCAGTTCCAAAGTTATACTTCTTTCTTCTCAAGTCCCCTGTTTCTCTAATAAATATTCTCTCAAATATTCTTGACTTAAAACCTACCAAGTCCTTTTTATGAAACCCATTTGCATTATAAAAGTACATTTGGGATATTTGGTTTTTATGTGGTACATCTATTCTCTGTATTATTTGGTTTTCAAAGTACTTTTCAGTCAGTAGGGGGCATAGTTAACTCATGTATCATTCTATATACTTAAATATAAAGTCATCATCCCAACTTGAACGTGATAACATAGATATGTAAATCCTTAAGAATGAATATATCTTATTTTACATTGTTCACAGAGTTATTTTTTTGTGTTTTTCATTGTATTTAAAAATAACAGTAAGATTATGAAAAGTAGAGATCCAGCTTTATGATGAGAGGTTTTATTTTTATGATCAGATTTTATCTCAATATAGATATTAAATATGCAACCACAACTTTCTGCCAGCATTCAGGATTTATTTCAGCGTGACTATAGGTAAATGAATCAAACTCAATAAATGTAGTTTTGGGAACTTAGGAATACAAAGATCTTATACTTGAGAAATCAGTCATGTGCAAACTATATTTAAATTCACATATAAGATGAATGTTAACTAAATTTACTGTGGTAATCATTTCACAATATATGTAAATCAAGTTATGCTGTACACCTTAGACTTACACAATGCTATATGTTAATTATATCAATAAAACTGGAAGCACTGTATAATTCAGAAGTTTGTAGTTAGAGAATTAAATATAAATTGCTATGGAGAATAGGACAGTACAATTAATTCCAGCGAGGTGGTTGGAAAACCTAGAAGAAATTTGGAAAGGAGAAAACCTTCCTAAGGAATTTATATTTTGCACTTTTACACTTGACTAATGGATATGGTTCCTAAATATCAGTGCATGTACTGGTGATGATCCATGATGCTTTCTCATTGCAAAGTGAGAAAAATAAATAAAAATAGTGTGGTGTGTTGGTTATCTAAAGAATATTGCATTAAACACCCATGTATCCAGCATCCAAATTAAGAAATAGGTCCTTGCTGATACATGTAGCTCCAGTTCCTTCATTTTAATGACTTTTAGAAAAGTGCACCTGGTAAGTATAAGTTTAGGAGCCACTTTGCTCTTTGTACTGCCATTTGCTATTACAGACAGTGCTGCCCTGAACATTCTTGCACGTTTCCTTGTGTATATCTCCAATAGGAGTTTCTTTAGTTACAGGGGTTCTTATCTGTTTTGTGTGCCATGCACCCCTTTGGGAACCTGAAACCTATGAACCTCTTTTCAAAATAATATTTTTTAATGCATAAACTAAAATATATAGGGTTGCAAAGAAAACCAGTTGTATCGAGGTACAGTTATCAAAATACAAGTTTGTGATATAGAGTGCAGACACAGAAACATACACAACATATTCCCATTGCAGGAATCAGGTTTTTCATAATTCAGAATTTTTTGTACCTGAATTAGATTGTGCTGTAGTTTTCTTTTGCGGGGAGACTTTTATCTGGTTTTGGCACCAAGGTTATAGTAAGCTTGATGAATGAGTTGGGTTGTATTTAACTTTTTCTATTCTCAGAAGTTTTTTGTAAGATTGGAATTACCTGTTACTTTCCTTTTCTTTTAACTTTTTCTTTTTTTGGCCATGGGGCAGTTGGGATCTCGGTTCCCCTACCAGGGAATGGAACCCTTGCCCCCTGCGGTGGAAGCAAAGACCACTGAACCACCAAAGAAGTCCCTGGAATTCATCCCTTTGAACAGCCTTGTCTTTTTGTTTTGTGGGCACGTTTAAGCGATACATTTGAAATTCGAGTCTTTAGATGAAGTGGACAATTTCCTAGGGAAATACAGTTTGACTTGATGTGACTTTTGCTTGTTTTTTCCTTGAGCTTCCGGGACCTGTGAATTTGTGACTGCCATGAAATTTGGAAATTTCTTGGTCATTATTTCATCACATACTTATTCTCCCATGCTCTCTTTTTCAGGGATTCCAGTCATACTTACATTAAATTGTTGATGTTGTCCAGAAACTCTTGGTTATTCTTTGCCTTCCCATTATTTTTCCTCTTTGTATTTCAGTTTCTGTTGACTGACCTATTTCTCTGGATTTATCACTAAGTTCATTGATTCTTTCCTCCACTTTGTGAGTTGTCTGATGAGCCATTGAAAGCATTCTTTACGTCTGTTACTATGCTTTTTACTTCTAGTATTTCCTTTTAATTCTTACCGTTTTCATTTCTTTGCTGATATTACCTATCTGATGTTGCATATCTTTCACCTTTCCCATAGAGCCCTTAATTTATTCCCTGTCAGAAAACTTCAATATCTGTGTCATATAAGAGGCTGGTTCTGTTGATTGCTTTATCTCTTGGAAGTGTTTTGTTTTTTACCTTTTCCTGTGCTTTGTAATTTTTTTTTTTTAACTAGATGTGCATCTTGTGTAGGAGAGTAGACTAAAGTAAATGGTTTGTATGCCTGGAAATGGGTACATCTTTCCTTCTACTAGGCCTTTAATGTGGGGGGTTTGAGTTAATACAGTCAGGAGTTGGGCAGGTTTGAGGTTTGTTATTTCTGTGGTTACCCTCATTGCACCACAGGCTTCAAATTCCACTAGCAATGTCTTATTTTTAGGTTAGGGGCTGGTTTGCCAGAGGGTTTTCTCACTATCTTTAGGTCTTCCCTTTGCACAGCACTTGAGGAGTTGTCAGTCCCCTGCAGTGTCCCACTGTTACTTTTGTTCCACAAGAAACTGGACGAGCAGAAAACACTTCTGCCCTGTTGTTCTGAGAAAGCCAGAGTCTTTGGCTGCATTAGTGTGTTCCTGTATCTGGGGCATTTGGCCTCATTAGTGCTCCTGTCCTGTGTGTGTTAGGCTCTCAGTCGTGTCTGACTCTTTGCAACACCATGGACTGTAGCCTTCCAGGCTCCTCTCTCCATGGAATTCTTTAGGCAAGAATACTGGAGTGGGTTGTCATGCCCTTCTCCAGGGGATCGTCCCAACCCAGGGATTTAACCCAGGTCTCCTACATTGCAGGTGGATTCTTTACCATCTGGACGATCGGAGACCCTATTCCCAAGCTATAGTCCAGCCCCTTCCCCAGATGCACTTGTTTTCCCAGTGCCCAAGGGACAGCAGTGTTTGTTGTCCTGCTCCAAGCAAATTAAACCTTTGGTTCCCTAGAGGAGATAAGCAAGGATTAGTGCCCTTTCCCCCTTCCTGAGGCCTGTACCATGGAGATCTCTTTCTCAAGACTCTCATCCTTCTTTTTGGTCTGGTCGTGTTGAAGAAAAATGTACAAGAGTTTGTGAACTCTTTTGTCCCCACAGGCTCCACGCTTTCTATCCAGCCCATATTTATGCTCCACCAATTTGATGTTTATTCTAGCTGAATTATTCTTAACAACTTCTAGCAGCATCTGCTGTGTCCCTTCTAAGATTTGGGGCTGGTTAGTTGTCCTGTGACCTCTTGGTTTATTCAACAGTAGTCATGAACTTAGAGTTTGGCCACCCTTTTTTTTTTTTTTAATTGAAAACCAGTGTTCTTTCTGACTCTCTACATCCTCAATCAGAAATCAAAAGTCTTTATTATGATGTATTTGAAATTATTTTATTTTATACTCTATCTCTTCCTTTTTTCTATGTTTTTTCCTCCTTTCTCTCTTTTTATTGGATTTGTTTTTCTTTTTCCTTCTGTTCAGTTCAGTCACTCAGTCATGTCCAACTCTTTGTGGCCCTGTAGATTGCAGAATGCCCAGGCTTCCCTGTCCATCACCAACTCCCAGAGCTTGCTCAAACTCATGTTCGTCGATGTGATGATGCAGTCCAACCACCTTATCCTCTGTCGTCCCCTTCTCTTCCTACCTTCAGTCTTTCCCATCATCAGGGTCTTTTCCAGTGAGACAGTTCTTTGCATCAAGTGGCCGAAGTATTGGAGTTTCAGCTTTAACGTCAGTCCTTCCAATGAATATTCAGGACTGATTTCCTTTAGGATTGACTGGTTGGATTTCCTTGCAGTCCAAGGGACTCTCAAGAGTTCTCCAACACCACAGTTCAAAAGCATCAGTTCTTCAGTGCTCAGCTTTCTTAATGGTTCAACTCTCACATCCATACATGACTACTGGAAAAACCATAGACGGACCTTTGTTAGCAAAGTGTCTCTCTTTTTAATATGCTGTCTCGGTTTGTCATAGCTTTTCTCCCAAAGAGCAAGCGTCTTTTAATTTCATGACTGCAGTCACCATCTGCAGTGATTTTGGAGCCCCCAAAAATAAAGTCTCTTACTGTTTCCATTGTTTCCGCATCTATTTGCCATGCGTGATGGGACTGGATGCCATGATCTTCGTTTTCTGAATGTTGAATTTTAAGCCAGCCTTTTCACTCTCCTCTTTCACTTTCATCAAGAGGCTCTTGAGTTCCTCTTCGCTTTCTGCCGTAAGGGTGGTGTCATCTGTGTATCTGAGGTTATTGATATTTCTCCTGGCAATCTTGATTCCAGCTTGTGCTTCACCCAGCCCAGCATTTCACATGAGATACTCTACATGTAAGTTAAATAATCAGGGTGACAATATACAGCCTTGACGTACTCCTTTCCCAATTTGGAACCAATCTGTTGTTCAATGTCCAGTTCTAACTGTTGTTTCTTAACCTGCATACAGATTTCTCAGGTGGCAGGTAAAATGGTCTTTTGTTCCCATATTAATTTGACTTTTATAATTCCTTTTCTTTTCTACTGTTGTTACCTGAAAAAAAAAGAAAAATGCTTCCCTGACAGAACAAAGTCTAAAGTTAGTAATTATCTCTGTTTTTTTCCAAACTCTATTAGGTCCTTAGAAGAACTCCCATGTGCTCTTTCATCTTATAGTCTTACATCTTACTATTTTTGTACCTCCAAATTCCTATTATTTTTTACCTCCAAATTTCTGGACATTATAGTCTTATGGAATCAGTATTCCTGTGGTTTTGTCTGAAAAGTGAAAGTGAAAGTCGCTCAGTCATGTCTGACTCTTTGCAACCCCGTGGACTCTATAGTCCTTGGATTCTCCAGGCCAGAATACTGGAGTGGGTAGCCTTTCCCTTCTCCAGGGGATCTTCCCTACCTGGGGATCGAAACTAGGTCTCCTGCATTGCAGGCAGATTTTTTTACCAGCTGAGCCACAAGGGAAGCCCATGGTTTTGTCTACCTGCATGCTATATTTTTTGCTCTGTATTCTTTCTTTTATTTAACAGCTTCCTCCCAGTTTCAATCATGAGTTGTAAACTCTCTCACTTTCTTAAAATAAATGTACTTTTCTCTCCTCTGTGATAGTTAGCTGAGTATACTTTTATAGGATGAATTTTTTTTTTTAAGCAATACCAATTTTTCCCATTGAGATGTCTGCTGGATATTTCATTTCCACCTTCACAGATACTGTTTTTCCCTTGATTTGCCTCTGTTTTACTTTAGCATTCTGTAAGTTTTGATATAATGTATTTTGATAAGGATTTATTTATATTTATCCCAAATAGTATTTGGGACTGATTGTGCTTCCAACAGTGTAGATGCATATGTGATTTTTGTTGTAAAGATTCTCAACTATTATCATCTTCTTAAGCCATCACAGCTCACTTTTTTTGAGGAGGGGGGAAACACCTGTAAAGTATTTTATACCTCTTTATTCTCTTTTCTGTCTCTTGACATCTTCTGAGACACTAATTTTTTCTTCATTGTGTCTAGTTCTTAGTTGCTTAGTTTTATCTGACTTTTTCTGACCCCATGGACTGTACCCCAGGCTCCTCTGCCCATGGGGATACTCCAGGCAAGAATACTGGAGAGGGTTACCATGCCCTCCTCCAGGGGATCTTCCCAACCTAGGGATTGAACTCAGGTCTCCCACATTGCAGGCAAATTCTTTACTGTCGGAAACACCAGGGAAGCTCAAGAATACTGGGGTGGGTAGCCTATCCCTTCCCCAGGGGATCTTCTTGACCCAGGAGTCAAACCAGGGTCTCCTGCGTTGCAGGTGGATTCTTTACCAGCTGAGCTACCAGGGAAGTCCGACTCATTGCGACCCCAGGGGCTGTAGCCTACCAGGCTTCTCAGTCCACAGAATTCTCCAGGCAAGAATACTGGAATGGGTTCCCATGCTCTTCTCCAGGGGATCGTCCCCACCTGGGGATTGAACCCGAGTCTCCTGCATTGCAGACAGCTTCTTTACTGGCAGAGACACCAGAGAAGGCCTCATTGTGTTTAATCTCCCGTTTAACCCTTTAATTGAATTTATTATCAGTATCTGTTAATTTTGGAAATTATATTTGGCTATCTTTCAAATTTGCTGATATTTTGACAGTGACTAGTTCTTTGTTTATGCTTCTTTTTATGTTTAATATGTAAATATATAAACTATTTTGTATAAAATCCTTATGTGATTACTATCTAGAGTTCTTAAGGATCTAGCGTATTTTTTGTCTGCCATTTCTCACTCATAGTCAGTTCTTGGGTTTTAATTATTTGTGTTAGTGTTTTGTAATTTTGGAGCATGGAATGGTATTAGGGGTGCAGGGAGAAGTTTTGGAGTGTATGTTAAAGGTGTGTCCCTCTGAAGTATAGTTGTTTGTTTTAATGGTAAGAGATAAGGCACTAAAAAGAGGTTGTGGAACATTTTGAATATGGTTAAGAAGTTCACTCTTAACTTTGTAGAAAGTGTTCATTGATTGAAAGTGAGAAAGAAGAGAGTAGAAGATGGTCATAGGAAGGAGGCATTTCTTCTGTTGGTCAGGAAGATGAGTAGTGGAAATAAAGAAACCTGGAAGTGGTAGAAAGTATATGAGTTTAAATCTATCAGGTGATACAGATTTTAAAATGAAAACTGGAGGCAGGGTCATTTTCATAAAATGAGATAGAATAGGTTTAGTAATAATAATAACCGAGTATTTGTTAAATGTCTTCTATTTCAGGCATTAGGAGAGAACTACTTTCATAAACTTTTCTTGTGTAATTCTCACAACACAGCTTTAAAAGTCAAGAAGTAATATCTACACTCATCAGTGTACTATAACTTGATAGAATTAGATAACTTCACCAAGGTTGAAGAACTGTTAAATGAGGAGCCAGATTTTGCCTGTGTTTGGTTATGAAAATGCTTACTGTTTCTTTCAGGCCCCTAATAGAACAATTTAGGATTGAGAGAATTCAATCTGAGTCAAGCCTGAATATGAAAACTACCTCATGTCAGTGAATTCACAATCTATAATGTTAAGGTCCTATTGTATAGCAAAGGGAACTATATTCAATATCCTATGATAAACCATAACGGAGAAGTATTTAAAACAGGGGGAAAATATGTGTGTGTGTGTGTGTGTGTGTGTGTATACATATATATATAATTGAATCACTTTGCTGTGTCCCAGAAACTAAAAGGGCTTCCCTGGTGGCTCAGACAGTAAAGAATCTGCCTGTAATCCAGGAGACCTGGGTTCAAGTCTTGTGCCCGGAAGATCTGGAGAAGGGAACGGCAACCCCCTCCAGTATTCTTGCCTGGAGAATCTCAGGAACAGAGGAGGCTAGGGGGCTACAGTTCATGAAGTACAAAGAGTCAGACCAGACCGAGCGACTGACACTTTCACTTTCAGAAACTAAAACAACATTGTAAATCAGCTATACTTCAATAAAAATAGATGAATAAAAGATCTATGTGCTATAGTTATAGTACACTAAGAGGCTAGCATATATTGAGTTCTTACTATATATTAAACTCTGTTACATGTTTTATCTCATTTAATTGTAAAGACAGTTAAATGAGAAATAGGTGGTATTTTACGTATGGTTTTCTTTAAAAAAAAAATGTTGTTGGTGTGTGGTCACTAAGTCTGGTCCAGCTGTTTTGCAGCCCCATGGACTGTAGCCTGTCTGGCTTCTCTGCCTGTGGGGTTTCCCAGACAAGAATACTGGAGTGAGTTGCCATTTTCTTCTCCAGAGGATCTTCCCAACTTAAGGATCCATCCCAGGTCTCCTACATTGCAGGAGATTCTTTACCACTGAGTCACCTGGGAAGCCCTGCATACATTTTTCAAATGAGGAAATAGAAATTAGATATTAAATAGTTTGTTTAATCACCAAATGGGAAGCCAGAATTCAAAGCTAGTCCATAAGCCATAAAAACAGACTGTGCTATACACTATAGGAATGTAGTTAACATGACACAGTTTGTGACATCAAAAAGTTTGCAGTTCAGTAAGTGGTGGTGATATCTTCGGCGGTCTGTGCTTTCTTTTGTGAACTGGAAAGGGGAGTTAAATACATCATATCTCTGTATCTATCTGTTTATACCATATTGCCTATTTCAGAAGTTAATATCTGCAAGTTCTATATAAGCATCCTTATAGTTTATAGGTATTTATTGTATGAACGGTAAATGGATCTTTAATGAAAGTTTCTAATGTGACCCTTATGCATTCTTTTGATTTTTAAAGCAGTTTTATAATCTTTTTAAGTGTTTAACTATTTGTTGAATAAAATAGACCTGTAACTAACAATAACATTAAAAATATTGCTGAGACATAGTATACACATGTAGAAATTTATAAGTTTTGTGATAGTCACTCAGTCGTGTCCGACTCTTTGCCACCCTATGGACTGTAGCCCGCCATGCTCCTCTGTCCCTGAGATTCTCCAGGCAACAATACTAGAGTGGGTTCCTGTTCCCATCTCCAGGGGATCGTCCCAACCCAGGGATTGAACCCTGGTCTCCTGCATTGCAGGCAGATTCTTTACCGTCTGAGCCACCAGTTTTTTCAGGCCTTTTATCTGTATTCTGCTATTTACATTTTTATCTGTATTTGTATTTTTAATTGTTAGAACCAGATCAATAGTAACCATCTTCGAAGAGCAGAGCAGGAGGTGGTCAGTCTCCAGGAGCAGGTGCAGTATCTTTCCGCACAGAACAAAGGACTGCTCACCCAGCTGAGTGAAGCGAAGCGCAGGCAAGCAGAGATTGAATGCAAGGTAAACATACCAACTAGCAGGTTTGTGTTTTAGTCAATATAATAGTGTTTTTTGTTTTTGTTTTTATCTCATCACTGAGTACACTACCATAAAACTAAAAGAAGCTAGTCTTATTTCCTCCTTTTCCTGAACTTAGTTTGGCGGTTGCTTTCAGGCCAGGTTACCCCATCATGCTCTGGGTAAATTTCAGGCTGGAAACTTCATTGTCAACCACTTGGTTAGGAAATTAAGTTAACCAAGTGGTTGAAGGTTGGTGTCTGTGTTGACCTGTAGCCCTTTAAAACTGAAGCTTTTAATGTCTCAGCCAAAAAGATAGGTAATTTAGAGAAGTTGGGTCTACTCTGCTTTGATTGGCACGTTATTAATGGGCTGTCACTATTGATATATGTTTTCTGGATAGAGAATAAAAGAGCTGTGTGTGTACCCAAAGGTTGGCAAAATTGTGTGCATTTCATGTTATTATTTTAATCAATTTTTAAATTTTTTATGGAGTGTTTGGATTCATAAAGCATGGAAAAGTTTTTGAATGCAAGTATGTTTTTTTTCCTTAAATTTATAATACAGCAATGGTGAGAGAGAAGGCAAAGTTGGGAAATGGGGTGGAAGGAGAGGGGTTTTGTGTGTGTGTGTGTGTGTGTGTGTGTGTGTGTGTGAAATAACTAAAGACATGACTGTGGTGAACATTAGAATGAATTACTGAGGGCAAGTTTATTTTTTGGCAAGTTTGGTTTTGTTTATGAGATTTTTTAAAAAACTAGACATTCATCTTTCCATGGTGAGAGAGTAGGAATAATGCCCTTTAAAGATTCCAGCCTTATTATTCTATGGTAAGAAATAAGACTTTCAATGGCAGATATAAAGCTGTAATTCCATCAACTTGTTCTAGTGTCATTAAAAACCCAAAGTGAAGCTTGAGTGGTTTATCAGTGTCACTGAAATCCAGAGATGAAATTACATCCTAATGAATATGCATGACTGTTAGTTTGCTCTGACAGAAATCTGCAGGCAGCACTGAAATGTGCACTGATGTAAGAGTAGTCCCTCCTGAGGTATGTGACTACGTGTGCTTTTTTTTTTTTGTCTTGTGGGATCTTAATTCTTGAAAGTTGGATTGAACCCAAGCCATGGCAGGGAAAGCACTGAGTCCTAACCATTGGACTGCCAGGAAATTCCCTAGGCTAATTTAAAAATAAGATGATGTAACATGAGATTACATCAGTTTGATTTATTATACTAATATCTTCTTCAGTTTTTTATTTTGCAGTGTCTGTCCTGACATTTTTAATAAAGAACTAAATTTAGTATTTTATTATTGATATGTTTTCCTTTAAACATGTTGATAACATTGTTACTGGATTTAATACTATACCCCAAATACCTTAGCACCTTTTAATCAAAGTAAAGTGTTATTTGGAAATAAATATTTGGGGAGTCTGCCGATGAAAATAATTGTTTGCTTTGAATTTGTGTAAGTAATGGGCCCACATTCAGAATTTTGAGAACTGATATGAGATCTTATTTAACTTTAACTTTTCATTAATACCTCTGTAAAGTATATACAGATGCTGATTCTGAGATCTCCCCTGTGTTTAAGATGTATATTGATTTATTTAAATTTCTTAAATGCCTTTTGCAGATTTCCAGCATGACCAATGTTAATTGTCACCCTAGCATCTGGCACATTCTGATTAAGTGTTAAATATTTTACTTTATCATATTGAAACAATTCAGCAATAAACCTAACTTTTTCAAGAGAGCTAGTCGTTCAGTTATATAAATCTGATAGATCTCATTTCATTTTATGTAATTATAGCTTGTAATTTGTTGATAAGTAATTATTAAAGCTCATGCTATTTTTCATTGATGTAAAGCAGGGTACTGTTTTTGTTTTTAATTTCTTTTGTTTTTTGGCTGCGCTGGGTCTTTGTTGCTGCATGTGGGCTTTCTCTAGTTGCGGCAAGCGGGGTTACTCTTCGTTGTGGTGTGCGGGCTTCTCATTGTGGTGGCTTCTGTTATTGGGGAGCACAGTCTCTTGATACTCACGCTTCAGTAGGTGTGGTACATAATCTTAGTTGCCATGGCATGTGGAATCTTTCAGAACCAGGGACTGAACCCATGTTCCCTGCATTGGCAGACGGATTCTCATCCACCATACCACTGGGGAAGTCTGGGATACTGTTTTTAATATTAGCATTATTTTCCCTCTGTAACTGAATTTGAATGTTCCCACTTAAAACAGTGTAAGTCTAAGATCCCCAATATGAAAATCCAAAACACTTTGAAACCTAAATTTTCATAAATTTCACACAAATTCATTTGGAAGCAGAACCTGATTTGAACTAATATATAGCGATTTATCAGAGAAGGCCATGGCACCCCACTCCAGTACTCTTGCCTGGGAAACCCCATGGACGGAGGGCCCTGGAAGGCTGCAGTCCATGGGGTCGCTAAGAGTCGGACATGACTGAGCGACTTCACTTTCATTTTTCACTTTCACGCATTGGAGAAGGAAATGGCAACCCACTCCAGTGTTCTTGCCTGGAGAATCCCAGGGATGGCAGAGCCTGGTGGGCTGCCGTCTATGGGGTCGCACAGAGTCAGACACGACTGAAGCAATTTAGCAGCAGCAGCAGCAACATAGCCATTTATAATTGTTATTTATCCCACTTGGTTTGAGTACTTATACATCACTGCTTCATTTTTGTTGAGTATTGAACGTACAGTTTCATTTTGGACACTGCCTCAGAACCCATTGGATCATATTAGTGTTCCATTTATGCACCTTATTACTCTTCTAAAGTCTGAAAAATCTGAAATTCCATAACATACCTGGCCCCCAGAATTTCAGTGATAAGATTGTTGGATTTCCTGTGTAAATCTAAATTTGAAAATTATAGAAAGATTTTATACTCTAGTAACAGATACATAATTTTGTATCTCCAGGAGAAAAGGTATTATTATATATTCATATACAAACTTGTAAAATTGTGTAATAAATAATGTTAAGTGAGGAAAGCTGAGCAAAGTATTTTATGATTATAATATTGTGCGTATATGAAATAATGATAGGAAGAAAACAAGAAATTAAACCTGTTGCTTATATTTCATGTAATTTTTAGTAGCTTAATACTTGTGCATTTCTTCATAATGCTTTGATGTTTTTAAAGCTAAATATAAATGAAAACATTCGAACTTCTTTTATCTTACTCTCTTCCTGACCCTACCATGTACACCCCTTTATTTTTTCCCCAGATAATGGCTTTTATTATTTTCTGATAACTTCCTTTAGAGTTTCTTTTAGGCAGATACTAATAATTAAAAGTATATACTTTTTCTCCTCACAGTCTTATGTGAAAGTTAGCAGACAATATATTCTACCTTTTGCTTTTTATGTTAATATGTTTTGTACAGCTTTCAGTTATCAGTGCTTAGAGTCTCCTTGTTAGTTTCTAAGATACATTGTTTTCCATTGCATGTATATACCACAGTATCCTTAACTAGGTCCATATTGATGGATACATGGTTTGTTCCCAGTGTTTTACTACTACAAGCAGTGTATAGTGAATAACTTTGTACGTACATAATTTCAGATGTATAGAGGTATATCTATACATTTCTATAGAATAAATTACTATAAATATGATTGTTTGGTCAGAGAGTAAATACCTTGGTACTTTTCATAGTTTTTGTCAAATTCCTCTCCTTAGGTTTGTGCTTTGACCTGCAGGGCATTTTTTTGTGTGTGCTTTGACCTGCTTTTTTTTGTGTGCTTTGACCTGCAGGGCATAATGGTACCTGTTTCTTTATCATGTTACTTATAAATTGTATAACAAAATCTTTTTATTTTAATTAGATGGAATTTACATGTTCTAGGACAGTGATTTTCAAATTAGGGATTGGAAAGTGAGATTATGAGACTTCAAAGAATGATAACATCAGTGTACATATTTGTCAAATATTTGGGTGTCTTCTTGTAGGTTACTGTTGTAAGCATTGGGGATACAGTAATGGAGAAGGTAGACCTAATGTTTAGTGAGACAATAAATAAAAAATAGAAAAGATCATTAGTAATAACGTTCTGTAGAGTGAGAAGTTAGAGGAAGTGGTAATTAAAATCAAGTGCCAGGAGATGGTATCGGAGCTGAAGAATAAGAAAGAACCAGCCTTATGAAGAGTAGGGGGGGCAGATCCTTACATGAAAAAGGTCAGAGATCAAGACCCAAAAAGCAGGAAAGAACTTGGTTGCTGAGTTTCATATATAATGCAGAGCTGAATGAGATAAAGCCAGGGAGGTAAGCTAGGACTTAGCTTCTTATGATGTAGATATTTATAGGTCATGGTAACAAGTTTGAGTTTTACTCTTAAATTCTGTGGGAGGCCACTGAGAGGTAGGATAAAAAACATGATACATTTTTTTATTTGCTCTGTTTGCTTCAGTTTTTTTTTTTCAGTTTTTATTTAAATTTTATTCATTATTTTATTTTTGTTTGTGCTGGGTCTTTGCTTTACAAGGGCTTTTTCTCTAGTTGTGGCAGGTGGGGGCTTCTCTCTAGTTGTGGTGTGGGGGCTTCTCTTTGCAGTAGCTTCTCTTGTTGGCAGAGCACGGGCTTTTAAGCTTGCAGGCTTCAGTACCACTTGGGCTCAGGAGTTGTGACACACGGCATGGTTGCCCTGCAGCATGTGGAATCTTCCTGGACTAGGGATCAAACTCCTGTCCCATGCATTGGCAGACAGATTCTTATATTGGACCACCAGGGAAGTCCTTTGCTTCAGTTTTTTACTTTTACTTTTGACATAATTTTATGTTTACAGTAAAGTGGCAAAGATAGTACAGGGAGTTCCCATATACCCTTTAATTAGCCCCTCCTAATTTTAACCTGTTACATAAACATGACACAGTTATTAGGTCTAAGAAATGAACATTAGTGATAATGTTATTACTGAATTACAGACTTCATTCAGATTTCCCCATCATGTCTCATTCTTCTTTGATCTGAGGTATGTTGTAGAAATCCCTCAATTTAGGATTGTCTGATGTTTTCTTATGCTTAGACCAAGGTTATGTGTCTTAGGCCCTTTCTCAGTATATTATATCGGGGGCATGTGTTGCTAGGTAATGTCCAGCTCTTTTGCAGCCCCATGTACTGTAGTCTCCTCTGTCCACAGGATTTCCCAGGCAAGAATGCTGGAGTGGGTGGCCACATCTTCCTCCAGGGGACCTTGACCCAGGGATCAAACCTGCGTCTCCAGCACTGGCAGCAGATTCTTTACCACAGAAGCCCATCATGGGGCATTCTGTATTGATACACCTTACCTCTGGTGCTGTTAACTTTGGTCATTTGCTTAAGTTGGTATCTGCTAGCTTTCTCCACTACAGAAGTCCCCCCACCCTCATACTCTGTTCCTTACAGGCAAGTTACTGAGCCTAGACAATGGTTCAAGTGGAGGAAAGGGCATTAAGTTACAACTCCTGAAGGAAAGAATATCAAAGAATTTGTTACAACCACCACAATAGGACAATAATTAATAAGTATTTGGAGGAACTATTTTGAGTTTATGCAAATATGGTTAAGGTTTCAGCAGCTAATTTTAGCTTTGTTAGGAGATAAATGCATGTAAAAGTTAATATAATTATTTTTTAAAAGAACACACATGCCACTCTGTGTGGACATGGATTTGAGGTGGCTTTGGAGAGAGGTGATATGAGATCATCAGGTAATAGAACAGACAGAGGTGCTAGCTTTGGCTCAGGTGCTGGCAATGGAACTAAAGTAGAGTAGATCAATCCAGTATTTTTATAGAGACTCAGTGATTGGGTTGGAGAGGGAGGAAAAGTTGGAGAAAGTTGGTGCCCAAATATGTGGTGTTTTACTTGATGGATGTAGTATTTTTATACAGTGTTAATATTAGTAAATATGTATTAGTTATCTATTGCTGTTTAACAGATAACCTCTAAAATTTAGCAGCTTAAAATAATAGTAACCACTAATACCCCAGAGTTTCTGTGGATTAGAAATTCAGAAGCAGCTTAATGTAGTGACTCTGATTTAGAGTCTCACAAGGCCACAGTCATCTCAGGCTTAGCTGAAGCTAAAGGATGAGGCTTTGTAAGTGGTGCACTCAGTGGTTACAAGGTGGTGCTGCCTGTTGGAGAGAAACCTTTGTCCTCAAGGGGCTCTGTTTTAGCAAAGGGTACAAACGCCCCATTACAGTGCAGTATGAGTAGTGCTGTGATTGAGGTGGTGCATTGGATCCTGTAATGTGAGTTTAGTGTTAGATTTATGGTTCAAGCAAAGCTCACTAAGGAATGATTAAGCTGAGACCTTAAGGATATGTAGGAGTTAGTTGAGGAAAGACAACAGAGAGTTCACTAGGCGAAGGGAATAGCACATGTGAAGAGCAAAACAGACAAGGTTGTTTGCTTGAACTAAATGAAGTACCAGGATCATATTGAAAAGTTTAATTATGCTTGAACTCATTCGAGTTGGAGGGGAGTGTGTGATAAGGAATACTGGTAATATATGAAGCTAGAGCAGTAGATAGGGAAGCCAAATCATGGAGAGTCCTGGACACCAGTAAAAGAACCTGTTGTCTCAATATCTGTGGAATACTATTAAAGTGTTTAAAATAAGGGAGTGACAGATTTGAGTTTTATTAAACATAGACACAATGGTGTGCTGGAACTAGCTGGTGAAGGCTTCAAGAACCAATTGTTAAATTTTCAGGAATTTTGTGACACAATTGTTAAACAGGCATATTAAAAATTAAATTATTTAACATAATTAACAAATTATGATAAAATAATGATAGTAAATACTCAAACTTCATGATTTCCTAATTTTTACATTTTACTATTATGTATGCATTTCAGGTTATTTATACTTATTATGTCTGTATTGTAGAAATACCATGGTCTGCCACTAATGTTATCTTCACTGCTGTTCACGAATGTTATGTCAAGTTGAAAGGAGCCATGATGGGAGTAGTTATACCACATGAATTGTCAAACTACAAATCAAAGCTTGACTTACTGTTTTGTTAATTATCTAGACCAGAAGTTGGCAAATTCTAGCCCATGTTGCAAATCTATCTGGCTGCCTGGTTTTGTAAAGTTTTATTGGAATACATTCATTTGTATATTGAAATATATTCATTTATTTCCTATTCACTTGTATATCATCTGTGACCACTTTCATACTCCAGTGGCGGATAGAGTAGTTGTAATAGCCTGTATGACCCATAAGTCTGAAATTATTTACTATCTGGCCCTTTAAAGAAAGTATTTGTCTCCTTCTCTAGACTGTTAAAGCTTAAAAATGTGTTGTGTCTTCAGTCTTTACATTATGAATAGCACAATAATATTGAGGAAGTTTTCTTCCAGTATTTGATCACTGTTATCAGAGTGATAATAACTCTATTATCAGAATAAATAACACAAACAAAAATTAGCCAGAGTTTACATCAACACTTTACTTTTCCCTCGTTTTCAGTGGTAGGTGACTTATGGACACAAGATTTGGCAAAAATTAGGGAAAGCTTTCTGTGAGAGTATATTGACTAAATAGAATTTATAATAATGAGTATTATGTATCTAAACTGCTATATACTGTACATCTTCTATTTCAGTCTAGATTAAAATATATTATAAATGTACATACAAACATATTTACACACACACACACACACACACACACACACTTGCTTGAGAGCTGGTTATTAATTGTGTGCAGAAACTATACTTAGTGGCCATGTACAACTTGGCAAAATATTTAAAGCAATATTTGCTTGAAATGAAGTACCAGGATCGTATCAAAAAAGGTAAAAGAATAAATATATTTTTATTTAAAAGTTTAATTATATTTTTACTAAGTGTGAAATTTTTTAAAATTTTGATATTACTCTCAGGTGCTTAATTTCTCCTATGGTCACCCTGCTGCACATTTTTGATACTGATTGCTAAATTTCAACTGAAGTTAATATTTCCTCCATATTATATATTTTTGTATATTCCGTCTTTCTCTTCTATTATCTCCTTTGTAGTATAAAGTAAATATTCATTAACATTCATTGCCTCAAAAAATGTAATTTTAAAAATATTATCTAGCTAACTCAGTGTTTATATTCCCTATCAATCTATTGCCCTAGTTACATATTTGAAAGTTCTCAATAATTGTTCCTGGATAAAAAATTAAGTTTTCACAATCAACAGTAATTTTAATAGTTTTAATTAACTTTTAATTTAAAAGTTTGAGCAATATTTATATACAAGTGCTCTTAAAGATGGAATGCTGTTATATATATTTATTCTTCATTTTATACCAAGTTCAAGTTATAATGGCATTTAAAAAGATTTTTTTATTGGAATATAGTTGATTTACAATGTCGTGTTAGTTATAATGACTTTTTTTTTTCTCTCTCTAATTTAATCAGGGGGTCTATTTTTTACTTTCTAAATTTGAGTCAAGTTACAATGTTTTATTAATGGTTTGGTTTATTGTATGGTTTATTTTTGGCTTGTTTTGTTTACCACCCTAGAACAAGGAAGAAGTGATGGCTGTGAGACTCCGGGAAGCAGATAGCATAGCAGCTGTTGCTGAGCTACAGCAGCACATTGCTGAGCTTGAAATCCAGGTACCATATGAAAATAGTAAAGTAAATGTAATAATAATGCAGTTATTTCCCCTTTCCTCTGTACATGGATAGTGACTTATGTCTTTATCCTAATGACTGTGTTTCTGTTTTCAACACTCCTTTCCAAGTCTAGTTTTTTAAATTGCAATAAAAATATACTTATTGCAGTAAAATTTACAATTTTAATGTATACAGCCTGTTTCATTAAGTACATTCTCATTGTTGTGCAACCAATTTCCAAAACTCTTCACCTTGTAAAACTGAAATGCTGTGCCTGTTCAACAGCTCCCCATTCCTGTCTTCCCTCAACCCCTGGAAACCACCCTGTACTTTCTGTCTCTGAATTTGACTCCTCTAATGAATCTCATGTTAAGTAAAATCATAGAGTATTTATTTTCCTGTGAAGGGTAATGTCCTCAAGGTTCATTCATGTTGTAATGTTGTATCAGAATTTCCTTCCTTTTTTATGGCTGAATAATACTCCATTGTGTGTGCATACAACTTTTTGTTTGTCTGTTTATTTTTTGATGAACATTTAGATTGCTTCTGCCTTTTGGCTGTTGTGAGTAATGCTGCTATGAATATGAGTGTACAAATGACTATTTGAGCCCATGTTTTCATTTGTGGGGGGTATATACCCAGAAGTGAAATTGCTGAATCATGTGGTAATTCTGTATTTAATTTTTTGAGGAATTGCTATACTGTTTTCCGCAGCAGCTGAACCATTTTACATTCTTACCAACAATTCACAGGGGACTAGTTTTTCCACATCCTCACTAATACTTGTTAATTCTCTGTGTTGTCTTTTGTTTTTTTAAATAGTCATCCTAATGAGTGTGAAGTGGTATCTCATTGTGCTTTTGATTTGCTTTTCCCTAGTGATTAGTAAAGGTCTTCCCTCGTAGCTCAATTGGTAAAGAGTCTGCCTGCAATGCAGGAGACCCAGGTTCAATTCCTGGGTCTGGAAGATCCCCTGGAGAAGGAGATGACAACCCACTCCAGTATTCTTGCCTGGAAAATCCCATGGACAGAATAGCCTGGTGGGCTACAATCTATGGGGTCCCAAGAGTGGGACACAACCTAGCAACTAAACCACCACCAGTGATTAATAATGTTGACCATCTTTTCATGTGCTTATTTGCCATTATGTCTTCTTTAAGGAAATGGTAGGTTCAGTCCTTTGCCTGATTTTTAAATGGATTGTTATTGAGTTATGAAAGTTTCTTATATATTCTCAGGGTCAATCCATATCAGATATATGCAGATATTTTTGAAGGTATTTCCTCTCATTCTATGGGCTGTCTTTTTGTTTTGTTGTTAATGTCCTCTGATACATAAAAGTTTTAATTTTGAAGTCCAACTTACCTATTTTTCCTTTTGTTGCCTGTGTCATATTTCCTTATTGTCAAAGCTGTTTTTGAAAGATAATTCAAAACTTTGAAAATAAGTGTTTTTTCATTTATTATGAACTATTTATTTTATAATATAAATACATTTGTATTATTTTATATTTGCAATATGGGTGAAGTATTATGTTTAAAAATCTCATTTTAAAAAATGTTTTATTAGATTCTCTTCCAACCCATAATACAGTTTTGGCTGCAACACCTAGAATTTTCTTCCCACCTGAAGTGCCTTTTTGTCTGTAAATTTCAATTTAAGGTCTGGGTCAAAGGTAATCACAACACATGCTTTGCGAAAGTTTATAAAACAGTATCCTTCATGTTCTATTGCTAGTATTCCTCAGAAATTATTGCATATCCACAAAAACTTGAGGGCTTCTCTGATAGCTCAGTTGGTAAAGAATTCACCTGCAATGCAGGAGACCCCGGTTCGATTCCTGAGCCGGGAAGATCCTCTGGAGAAAGGATAGGCTACCCACTCTAGTACTCTTGGGCTTCCCCTGTGGCTCAGCTGATAAAGAATCCACCTGCAATGCGGGAGACCTGGGTTCAATCCCTGGGTTAGGAAGATCCCCCAGAGAAGGGAAAGTCTACCCACTCCAGTATTCTCTGGAGAATTTGATGGGATCACAAAGAATCGGACACAGCTGAGTGACTTTCCCTTTCACTTTCAAAGAAAAACTTCAGACAAGAACCAACTGCATAAGATATCTATAATCAGCTATTTAAGTCATGCTATCATATGCAATTCTAGTTTTAGTCATTACTTACTTTTTTTTTTAGTCATTACTTTTATATCATGAAAATTATAAAATTTTTCCACGTTTCTGTACATCTTAGTCACAAAATAGCAAGATTTGAATTACTTTTTGTTGATTCTTAAATGCTAATTAAAATGAAGACCCTGGAATGCTGCACACTTTAAAATGAAACATAACATGTATTTCACCAGTTTTCAAAAACAAAAGGAATGCATAAAATTTTACTGTTAAAAAATTTTTTTTTTACTGTTAATAGGAGTATGTTAGCCTCAAATGGCTCATAAGTGAATCCTAATTGCTGGTTCATTGGTATTTTTTCAATATTTAACTGGCTGGAGCTTATCTCATTTGTCATTATTGACCCCTTTGTCCTCTTAGCTTTTCTCCTCTCTTGGCTTTCCTAGCACCATCCACTTTTGACTCTTTGCTTGTTGAAGTTGTTTTCAATTCTGTGTGTTTGTATTCCTTTGAGAATCCAAGATTTTTAGGTTTTAAAAAACTATTCAGTGTACAGTGAAGGACCTCACTTATATAGCTTCAAGAGCCATCTTTACAACAATAAATTCTAATCTAGCTCCATCCCAGCATGTTTTCTCATAACTAATAATCTTATACCCTATTAAAATATTATTTATTTATTTGACTGCGCCAGGTCTGAGTTGTGGCGAGTAGGATCTTTAGTTGTGGCGTGCGAACTCTTAGTTGCAGCACATTGAATCTCTTCCCTGACCAGAGATTGATCCCAGGCCCCCTGCATTGGGAGCATGGAGTCTTAGCAGGGAAGTCCCATAATCTTATATCTTTAAAAAAAATTATGAACATAGTATACAGAAAAGTTCATAAAACAATGCTACATTATATGTAAAAATAGTATCCATATAACTACTACTTGGGTCAAGATAGAATATTGTCTGTATTCCAGAAGTCCTGAATTTTATAGTAGTGAATCCTCTGCTTTACCTTATAGTAGTGTCATCTTTGTATTCATCTCTCATCCATACAGTTTAGTTTTCTGTTTCTGAATTTCGTGTAGTTATGTTGAATATTTGTGTCTCTTATTTCTTTGTTCACCGTTACTTTAGTGAGTAATCATTTTTCTCATTGCAATATTTCCATTTTATAAATAGATAGCAATGTGTATGTCCATTTTAATTTTAGTGGTCATTTGTAAATTTCCAGATTGGGACTGTTACAAACAATGCTGTGATTATAAGCAATCTTATACACTATACTGACCACAAGTGCACAAGAGTTTCTTTAGCATGTATGGCAGGGTGTGGAATGGCTGGGTGTGGAATGGCATGCAGATCATCAGTTTTATTTTCCAAAGTGTTTGTGCCGGTTTTAACTTCCAGCCACAGCATGTGAAAGTTCTGTTGTTCCACAGCACTTGGTGGTGTCAGATGTTTTAATTTATGCCAGTCTGGTGGGTATGCAGTAATATTTCATCATGATTTTAATTTCCATTTGCTGTATTACTAATGAGGTTGTAAACTTGGATTTCATCTTTTATAGAGTGCCTATTACCATCTTCTGTATTTTTTCATGTGGGTTGTTTATCTTTTTCTTAAGTATATATAGTTCTTTTAAGTTTTATTTTATTTTTAATTGCAGGATGATTACTTTACAATATTGTGATGGTTTCTGTCATATGTTATGTTTTACAGATATCTACTTCCACTTTCTAAGTTGTCTTTTGTTGTCGTTGTTTTTAACATATTGTGTCTTTTGATCAGTAGACCAATGTTTTTAATGGACAGTAGAGAGTTCCTCCTGAAAGTTGTACAGGAACTCCAGATTCAAGATGTTTAAAATCAAGTGTGTTTCTATTCCATCCAAAATGTTTTTATACTTTTGTATCTCAAGTCTTGTTTGATGGTATCATCTCTTACTGAATTACTCAACTTAGTAGGAACTTCACTTATGCCTTTCTTAATGTTCTGCCGTATTTATCAAGGCTGAGTATGTAAACTTTCAACTTTATTTGAGAATATGAAGTTATTTTCACAAAGAGCTTGTGCTAGTTAACATTCCTGCTAGCATTTCAGCTGCTCGCCTACTCATGTAAATTTGCCTTCAGTGCAGTCAGTTCAGTTCAGATCAGCCACTCAGTCGTGTCTGACTCTTGCGTCCTCACGCCAGGCTTCCCTGTTCGTCACCAACTCCCAGAGCTTGCTCAGACTCATGTCCATCGAGTCAGTGATGCCATCCAACCATCTCATCCTCTGTCACCACTTCTCCTGCTGCCTTCAGTCTTTCCCAGCATAAGGGTCTTTTCCAGTGACTCTGTTCTTCACATCAGGTGGCCAAAGAATTGGAGCTTCAGCTTCAGCATCAGTCCTTCGAATGAATAGTCAGGACTGATTTCCTTGACTGGTTTCAGATATTTCTTAATAATTCATACAGATTAAACATGTCCAGCTCTTCAGTTTCTTCAAAAGATAAAAGGCATGGGTAAATATAAAACTAAATCAAAGGTAATTTTACTCATTTCAGAAACTTAAAAAAAAATCTTTCATGGCCTTTCTGTTCCTCCCTGCTATTCCCTAATGTATCTGCATTTGTCCCTACCTGAACATCACAGCTTCCTGCTCAGCTTCTTTTTCTTTGGCCTGAGCTCTCCCACGGAACCACCAGAATTATCTTTCTAAGGCATAAAAATCTTTATTGACTGCCTTTTACCTACCAAATCACATCAAAACTCCTCAGCACAAATGCTAGCCTTTTCATTTATTGTTTAAACTTTCACCTCCAGCCTCTTCTTTGACCATTACCACCCTATCCTCTCTCCCTAGCACCTACACACACACACACACACACACACACACACACACAC